TCAGACATTAGAGCAAGTAGTTGAACTTTACCAGCATTACGTAAGAAGTCTGCTGGAATTGTTTTCTCATTTCGCCGAGTGTCATTTTATTAAAGACTCAAAGGACCTTGATCGCCACGAATATGGTACTTATTCTTATCACTTGACTTGAAGCCAGCTATGCAACTTCGCAAACCTGACCAATGGGTTGATAAATACATATGTTTCTATATGTGTGCCTGTCATGATTTTCTTTCTCATTTACTGTCCTCAGTATTCTAAAACGAGTTATTGTCAAGGACAAAACTGACCATTATTTTTGTTTCTAGGACAAACTTACCGAAAGAGGCAATGGGCTATCCAGATTTCCCCATTCCCGAACAAGAAAAATCGTATCTAACGCAAGCTGAAATTTTGGACTTTCTGAACCTGTACGCGGAGCATTTCGAACTGAGGCCTTTCATAAAAGTAAGTAATAATAATTGATTAACGTATTCTGAAGGTAGCCAACTTAATGCTATGTTTCTCCATTCAAAAGAATTATCCGATATGGAAGTATGAAGAAATATATGCTATTTAAGCATACGTCATATAATTGGATACAGCACCATATATTAGGCACTGACCTAATTAGTGAAAAGAGGGAAATCACAGCTGTGACAAATTCTCATAGATGATTACTCCATGTCCGGTAAGTTTTTGAACGCTGGAATATAGTATTAACGGGGGTCCTACAATCACGAGCACCATCTGCTGAGGTAACGGGGGGGTGAAAAGGAAACGATTGTGGGCTGGTCTTAGACGGTGGTCGGCCCTACTTTAAAAGAGGAAAGGATGACTGCGGGTGCCTACCGAGGTAAATTTTTATAATAACAGAGTCGGATTTCGATTAGCGATCTAGCCTGTAAATCGTTTCCTATTTTGGTACTCAGCTAGTGATCATTTAGTATTGTTCTACCCTTGTTACTGTTCGTCGATATTGTGCTGTTGAATTGTTGTGTTGTACTCTTGTTGGTATGCTTGTTCTTGAGTGAATTTTTATCAAGATTGATAATGGACAATAAAAGGTCATATGCGACAATTTTAATTACGAACTCAGTGAGTTTAATTCATGATGAGGACAGCAATAATGTGGAGCAGTTCAACTCTATAATCGCAAAATACATTGGAGTAAGCCTACAAATTATTGAGAAGAGGTCATACCATGGAAGATGTGCTGCAGCTGTAGTGAGCCACAATACCGAGCGCCCTGTCTATTTGTTCCAAATTCATTTGCGTTCTAAGCTTAGTCCAACCTCGCTTATCACTAAGATGGAACGAAGACTCAAACGCAAGAATCTTGGAAAGAAGCTCAGACCAACGAAAGTTGATATAAAAATAACTAAAAATTCGGATAGCAATTCCAAAGAAAATATATAATAGTTTTATGGCGAATTCTGTCAAAAACCTGACATGAACGACATTGATTTGGAGGTTGCTAAGCAGGAATTTTTAGGAAACTTAGAAAAAGTGACGACGAGATTTTGCATATCGAACAAGTTACCAAATCACAGGACTGTGCTTTGTGGCATCTTCATCGGAGGATAAGGTTGACAGCGTCTCGATTTGGTGAAGTTTGTAGAAGAAGGCAGATAACAAGCTGTAAAGTTCTAGTAAACTCCATCATATGCCCAACAGAGTTTTCTAGTAAGGCAATAAAAAAAGGCAATACAAAAATCAGTGGACACGGCAGTTCAATCTTATCATCCATTTCTGGCAACATCACCTATTACAGTAGACAATACTACTTAATGTACGTAACAATGTACTTAATCCAGGTTAAGCCTACCTGATTATTGCTTTGCAAAAAATACCTAACTGTTTCCTCTTATTTTGACGGCATAATATATTTTTATGACCCTCCTTCAATTGTTACCATCTACCACACGACCCTTGTAAACATAATTGTGTTTATTGACATGAATAAACGAATTAGAATTTGAGTTCTTGAATTTATTTTAGGAAAGATATAAAATTATTTGAATACATTTTTTCTTAGTCGGAACGCACCGTTGCGTCGTTTGGACTGGCAGGATGAAACAGTAGACGAATTTCCCAAACAAACCGATTTGCACTTGTGCACTCGTGCTAAAAACAAAGTCCACAGGGTGCCAGCGATCCACTTTTTCGATTTTATCCACTAGGATCTTTTTAAAACATCAAGAAGTTGAGCACAAATAGTGAGCATTTCATCCCACCATAATTCTTGCGCAAAGACAAAATTTTGTTAAGAGCTCTGATAGCACCCTAGGCAATTATGGCCTGCTTATATCCAGAAAAACATCACAAACTGCAGAACACAAAACGTAACGGTAAAATGGGTACATTTCACGGGTTATGAAATTCAAATGAAAATGCAGGTATAAAATCTACCAAATAATCGTTCTCAAAAACATAGTTCCTTGGCATATCGATAATTTTAAAGATCCACGCTAAATTCCCCTTTACTTGACTGGAGTGATATCCGAATTTATTCTTCCCTACTGTGGGTAGTTGCAGATCTGTTGGCTGTTGGTGTCAAACCTATAGAGCAGGTACCGATTTTTTGAAATCGTGAGCACATTATTCGTCGGATTTTCGATACTTAAATTTCCTGTAATCACTGGAATCAGAAGCTTCTTAGTAATAGAACGTGTTTGACTGATTTCAACCCCCCCTTTTTAAGCAGTACAATTTTTTATGTCAATGATTAAGAACCCCTGAAACGTCAAACATGGAGTTTCAGCAATTCTTTTTCTTTTTTGCCTATAGCACCGTTGCCACTTGACTAAAACTACAAAGCTTTGGCATACTAGTAACCGCGTGTGGAAATTTCATAAACATCCGAGCGGTAATTTCCCACTTCATGATGAGTGATACAGTTTTTCGTGATGTAGATGTCATATGACTTAAAAAAACATAACACCTCAATTTAGAAATTTTTCGCGTTTACAATACTTCCTCGCCAATGACGTGGGAAGTAATACGGCTTTAAAATCGAGGAGTATCAGCAATCGCGATTATGAGTACTTATTTGCATAACGACTTATCTACGCGATATTATATGAAATAGGGCCACCAAATTATCTGAATACTTCTTAGTCCGTACATTGCGCCGCAACGCTTGGGTTGGCAGCACGAAACAGTAGACAAAATTTCATCCAAAATACGATTTGTAGAGGTTTGCGCGCTTCAAAATTGACGCTTTATTTTTTGATATTTTTGAATGAAATTTTCACAGAGTGCTGAAAACAAAACTCCACAGGGTGCTATAGAGCCACTTTTTCATTTTTTCCACTAGGTTCTTTTTAAAAAAATCGCGAAGTTGAACAGAAAAAGTGCGCACTTCAACTCATCATAAAACTTGTGCAAAAACAAAATTTCCAAAAGTGCTCCTATAGCACCCTGGGCAATTATCTTCTCAACAAACTGTATGAATTTCATTCAAAAATATTGAAAAATGGAGTGTCAGTTTTGAACCCTTGTAAATGGCTTGAAACTCACTGCGTCGGAGCCGCCTTAAGTTGGTTGTGTTCAGGCACACTGAGTAAAACAGGGTCAGTTGAGCATTATCTGGAAAATTTGGCATTTTTTTATAATTCCAACTTAATTATTCGGATTAACTGAACTGAATTTTCTGCGATAAGTTTAATGGAAAGTGATATACTATTAAACTAATTTGCTTAAAAATAGCAAACTATACTTGTCTTATTAAGCTGTTAAGTTAGTTTAGCTGATTTAGTTTATGAAGAAACATTTAAACATTTTAGTAAAAAAAACTCGGCATGACTTGGGCCCTAATTCGTGAATCCTAAATCTTGAATATGCGACAGGTGCAGTGTCTGTGACACGCTTGGAGCTCCTCAGTTTCATTTGTGATTATCATGACAAGCTTCATATTCAAATGTCGCCACCGTTGGTGAAGTAGCTGTGAAGTGAGCCGATTATGGTGATGTATAAGGCGCTTAGTGACTCATAACTATACTTAAAGTATTTGTCGCGCACTATAAAACACTGTGTTTAGGGAGTCACTGCTGACGTAACAGAATGGCAAAAGGCCAATCATGGGCATTTATAGCAAGCATGTGCTGATATGCTCTTATTCAGTTGGATATATACATATATACATAGACATCGTTTTGAAGTTCTTACAGTTCAACGATAATAGACTGTTGCGTCAGTGGTATATCTCAATTAATGCAATACTTCCAAATTCGGAATTTTGTTATTGTTACAAAATTTGGAGAATCTTATTTTGTTTCGTAAAATATCAATTATCGATATCAATTTCTTGAAATTGTTTAATATCTTGAATTTCTCAGAGCACAGTCATTCTGTAAAATACAATTTGTTGTTTTAAATTTGAAATACTATTTAAATATACTTTTAAATCAAAACAGAATAACTCATTATTGGTAGGCAAATACTTTTACCGAGCTAAATAAATTTAATGAATATAATCAAATTGTCTCTTACTTGGAGCTGGTAAACTCATTTTAGTAGTTCATTTATTTTAAATGAGTTGGCGTACTCAATCTAAGTAAACGGTTTAATAAATTTAATTACACGATACACGATATGTTTCATAGATTCAAGTAAACTGTTTTACAAGTTAGAGTTTAATTAAGCTAATTAAACTTCTTAGCTGCCTTGCAGCTAATGATTTTTTTTAGTTGGCTTAATCAAAATTTGTATTGCCTGACTGAACCGAAAGCCTCATGTATCGATTTAGAGAACAGTGCCCTGTTCGGAGGCCAACTATGACCCTTTAAGGCCTTCCTGTTCTACAATTCTAGAGACTTTTTCTTGGTCCAATTTCTTATAGATCCTCACGCCACAGAAGGGCTTGGACCTATTAAGGAGATACCCTAAGAAGACGTAAACCACATGTTCAGATGCAAGCCAAGTCTATATGGCATCGGGAGCGGCCTATGACCTAATTCAAAAAATCCAGCGAAACTGCAAATACTTTCACTCAAAAATTTAACCACAACTTCCTCTTACGTATGTCTAAACACTAAATCAAGTTTTATAAAAATAAGACATTTTTACTGCACGTTCTATGTTCTTCTCTGACTCAGTATATTTTTGTTGCAGTTCAATTGTATGGTAACAGACATCCGACCTATGGAAGACGACACCTGGCAAGTGACCTTCGTCCACAAACCTACAAAAGAAGAAGTCTCAGAGATCTACGACGCTGTAATGGTCTGCAATGGACATTACAACGAACCTGCATTCGTAGACTTTGAAGGTCAAGACAACTTCAGAGGTACGATAGAACACAGTCCATACCTTCAGATCACCAGATCAGTATGAAGGGAAGAGGGTTCTCATAGTTGGAGCAGGACCTTCTGGACTTGACCTTACCCTCCAAATATCAAAGGTTGCCAATTATGTAAGTTCGCAATTTAGCTACCGACACAACAACTTCAACAAAAGTATGTCCACGTATGCCTGTCTGTTGCGTCCTGCCTCCTCAAGGGTTAAAACTGATTTGAATACGGTTCTTTTAATCGAACGCATAGTACGTCAGGATGTTTCCTAACTGTATTTGGTACAAACGAAGAGTAAACGTGGGGTGAGCAACTCAAAGCAAGTGAATATACCTGAATGGGGTATAAAATGAAAGCGACTAATTTGTAGATTGCTGAATCGGTGTTTTAATGATAGTCGTTTTTCTGTATGATTTTTGACTCCCAAACGGATTCACTGATTTAAGTGTGGTTTTTTAATCTTCTACATTTTCTACTGTAGATAGCTACTACTATTTTATATCTATCGTGATTGCCCATCGAGTAACTTGTTATATTTCATTTTAAAGTGGGTTTTATAATTTTCTATATTTGAAAAGTTTATTAATATACATTTCACAGGAGTGTACATTACCAAATCTTCTTGTTATTATAAAATTTTAATGAGTTTCCTATCAGAGTAACATAAATGTCGCAGTGTTCGTGGAATATAGATAAGTACTGAATTGAGAACAATCGGTCACTAAAATTAAACACTGTGGCCTGATCACGCTAAAACATAATGAAATTAAATACACTTTATGAGCAACTTATCATATTGAATAATAATAGCGCATGAGATTCAGTACTTAACCACTAGCTGCTACGTTGACATATTCTAATAGCTTAGAGAAATTTAAGCACTTCAAGCGTTCTAGATAAAAGGAAAATATTTAGATGCTCCTAGCTTTTATATATCGCTTTAGGATTTGGTACAACCCTTTAAAGGCTATTTGTTTTCATTAAGAACCTTCGCTTTTTTATAAAATTCTTCAGGGTGTTGATTTAACAACCAGTGGGGCAATACTATTTATAGGTCAGAAAGTACGTTTAAGAATAGGATGGATTGTTAAAATAAGCGTGGGTCCTGAAAGGCCCCCATTCTGAGACACGACGTATTAATGCTCTTTTTACGAAACCGAAAAGATATTCTTTTCTGGAGCCGGATGAAAGTGTTCTAACGTAAAACCGACAGTAAATTTCAAGGGGCGCCATCTTGGAACATTTGTCAAATGGAATAGGGGCCATGTGAAGCTTTCTTATTACTAATTTGTAATCGTCAGTATAAAATACCTTCTGTCAAATGTCGTTGTATATTGAAGCCCTCAATAACTAACATTATAATACTTTATATCAATCTTCTTCTTTTAGAAGGATTTATCCAATGTGTAATAAAATATTGGACAGTCCCTTGGAAAAATGATTTTGGCAATCTTTTATAGATCTACCTATTAATCCGTATTTTTATACCTTTTGGGATAGCCTCTTCTAAGAAAAGAAGATTGATACAACAATGCGATGCAATGTACAAAACTGCTCAACATTGACAACCTGACATAATAAAGGGTGATTTCATATGTCTCCGTTATGAAGTATTCGTAAGGAGCTTGAAGTGAGTTAGTACGTTAGTGCTGGAGAAACTGGGATATTTCGACTCTACATAGGCAGAAACACTAATACCCTCTACGCCACTTTACTGCATCTTTGAGTAGGTTTCATTAGTAAAATAAATCTTTGTTTTAGGTTGCTCTGAGCCACCACTCGAGTGAAATAGCCAACACCCAATACCCTGACAACGTGATGAAGAAGCCTGACGTGAAACGCATTGTAGATGGTGAAACCGTTGAGTTCGTAGACGGTACTTGTTGTGGCTTCGACATAATATTACTTTGTACGGGTTACAAGTACAGCTTTCCATTCCTCCACGAGTCCTGCGGCATCACCAACGAAGAAAACTACATTTCACCGCTGTACAAACACTTAATCCATCTGGAGAGACCCACGATGTGCTTCATCGGAATACCTTTCGAGGTTTGCGCTTTCCAGATGTTTGACTTACAGGTAAATAATGTCAAGATCCTGAAATATAGTTCCGTATATTTCGCCTTAACCCTCTGGTCGAAAATATAACCCCAAAAATATAGTAGTTATCAGTTGTCCAGAACGTCTTTCATAGATCAGGCTAACTTGCTAAAAATACACCCTGTTCCAGAAACAATTGTAGTCAGATTTTGCAACGAAATTATATACTTAAAGCTTAGTTTACAATATGACAATTCTCTTTTGGTCTATTGCAGTCAAAAAAACATGTACATAGGACTAACAAGAAGCAGCCTAGAGCTCATCAGGTTTTGATGGAAGCTCGTTAGGCTATTTGTTTATGTATTTCCTAATGATTGATGATATCCTCTAACACGATTTAATTTAGTACCAAAAGAGGACTGTCGGCTTGAAACTTCCTAACCAAAATACCCTGCGAACTTTGCATTAAGGGTAAATTCTATCTAGAGATGCATCAAATTTTGCCGGGTAATTCATTTATTACACGTCAGAATTGGAAAATTCAGTTTTTTTTTTTCGCGTATATTCAAAAAAGTAGTACTATCAGAAATGAGACCTCATAATATGATCAATAATTGTAATGTCTGGTTTAATTCCTGCAAGTTGTTGAAGGGGGTATTTAAAACATGGACAAAGATTGAGAAAACGTGTTTGTTGAGATTCAATCGAAACTGTTCCCAGGAACGGAAAAACTCTTCATATAAGATTTTTATCTATTTATGAGACCTACAAAATGAGACCGCACGTAAAAAGATCCGACTGATAAAATTGGTATATTGGTCAAGTAGTTTTTCGAGAATTTCTGTTTATCCCAAAACACTTTCCGGCCATCACTACTGGTTTATTGAGCAATATACAAGGTTAGTTTGAACGGCATTTTGTGGCTAAATACACTAGTTTACCTTGCCTATATGAATCGCAAACCATTGCAGAAGATAAATGTTATTTTTATCCAAAAAGGATGGGTTATGTTTTTTCTGCTAAACAAATTCAAACATTTCATATTTGTGAGTAATTCGCAACAAAGGATGATAGACACATCTTTGTTTTAAAATGTGTGTAGTAACGTATGTTTTTCAAATATCGTAGCGCATTTGCTCAATTACGCACATATACGAAATGTTTGAATTTGTTTAGAAGAAAAACACGTCTTCGTTTTTCGCATTAAAATAACATTTACCTTTCGTATTGGTTTGTGATTGATATCGGCAAGGCAAACACATGTATTTTGCTATTAAATGCTCTTTAAACAAACTCTGTATATTGCTCAATAAACTAGTAGTGATGGCCGGAAAACAGGTGTTTTGGGATAAACAATTAGAAATTCTCAAAAAACAGGTTGCCCAATATACTCCAATTTTGTTGTTGCTATTTAGAAGTGTGAATCCTACGGATTTGAAGAATTTCAAGTAGTTGCATGAAATTATCGTCGCCAAAACCTGCATTTTGCCTCGTTTTTCGGCCATAACATTTTTGCTATTAGTCGGATCTTTTTACATGTGGTCTCATTCTGTAGATCTCATAAACACCTAAAAATGTTATGTGAAAAGTTTTTTCGTTCCTGTTAACACTTTTCTCATTCTTTGTTGCCAAGTAAGAAGTTTTCCCACAAAAGTTGATGTACCATTTTATGCGTCCATGTTTTAAATACAGTCTTGAACAACTTGCACCATTAAAACCAGACTTTACAATTATTTTGGGGAAATTTGCTAATATGATTAGACTACTAGACAGCTCGTAACAAATGACCATTAACCTCAAAAAATCCAGTTGCAATTTTAAACTTTCAGAAAATGATGAGCATTTTATGAAATTTTATCTGCGTGTTAATCACCACAAAAAAGTTTTCGCTGTTATTTCAGATTTTCTGTTGTGTGTATGCTTTTTTTTCTTTCTAAAACATTGCTTTAGTCATTTTTCTGAATAAACAATTAATGGTACAAAAAACAGAAAAATGTACTCACTGAAGCTGTAGATACTTCCTGTTTCTCGAATCATCTACTATCAGGTACTGGCTTTTTTATTATAATAATCACCCTATAACGTATGATTCTTGAAAAAATAAAATTCACTGAGACTATAACTCTTGTTTTGTTTTCAGGCGAGGTATTTCTGCAGGTACCTGGATGGTTCAATGAAACTGCCAAGCACAGAAGAGATGCGTAAGCATACGGAAGACGAAATAAAATGGAGAGTCGAAAAGGGGTACTCGAAAAGGAGGTTCCATAAAATGGGTCCCTACCAAGAGGCATACTACAATGACCTGTCTACACAGGCAACCATCACCCCCATTGCCCCAGTGATAGTTAAGCTAAGAGAGAAGAGTGGTAAAAGGCTGGCTAGCGATTTTCTCAACTTCAGGAATGATCGCTATACAATTATCGATGACGAACATTTCGTTATGGAGAAAATGTATTAATATATAGATATATGCTGTTTACTAATGTACAGAATGTTAAAGTAAGATCCCGGGCTGCCACACATTATCTATTTGCGATAAGACGGAACTTGGTCAGTAGCGTTTATATATACTTTCAAGGCCTGCGCATCTGCTAAACTTGATAGTGGTACGACTTAAAGGTATCAAGATAAAGACGAATAAGACTAACCTAATTCTCATTGCTGAGTTTCACATACCATATACTTTGTAAAACATTATACAAAGTATATTACTACTACCTTAAGCACCCAAAAAAAAATAATATAATCATACTTTTTTGCGCTTGATTTTTATATCTTATTTAGGGGACTATTTTAAAACTGCATTTACTCAGGCAGACAAATTGTGTGCGCCCAATGTGCCTAACATCCCGGCAGATACAAAAACCATTCATCAGTATGTTTGCATTTTGGAGTTAGTGAGGTCTCTCTATGAATAGGTTTGCTCCGCTTAAGGTTAGTATCAGGTCCTATAATCTTCATCCGCATGACCTGCACTATCAAAGTTAGCAGATATATCGAAGTACATATACAATAAATGCTACTGAATGGCCCAAGCTTTGTCTTTGAGTATATAAGTAATTTCTGGCAGATCTTGGATCTTATACGTTATATGTTTCAAGTTTTATTTATGATTTTATATGCTTTATACTATGTATACATTTTTGTAACGTATTAATAAATGCTTTTGCATAATTTTTAGTGCTTTGTTGCTCCCATATGGCTTAATTGGTGGAATAGGTTCGACTCTATATTCCTTAATGGCATGCTAATATTTCATGAAGAAAAGCTTATATCAACATGTCCGCGCTGTGACTTAAATTTTTGTATTGGATTCCTAAGAATAAAAAAAATAATTAGAAAGTACTTCAAATATTATTTTAAATTTCAGCATATTGTAAATGTAAATAGTTTTGTAAACATAGTTATTATTTTGCGCCACCATTGTCAGTGTCATCCCTGCAAACAAGTATTGTGATATATTTTACGAAAAATTGGTACCTCAGCATTCATCAACAGTGCCAAAACAGCAGTAAGCATTTTGTTGTTTTAATCGAAAATGGTGCATCTGACAAACAAATAGGAGACGATTTTCATATGAAAATGGCCAAGCTATAACTAGAAAAATATTCATTTTAAAAAAAAATCAGTCACGCACCATTTTTTTTCAGTATCACAAGCCACGTTTGTCGGAACGCAACTAATTATTCACACCATAATTTGTCATTTTATATTCTCTCATAACCTCCCAAAAATAATAGGTATCAAAAAACGTATTGTCTCATTTTTGAGAATTTTCGCGACTAAAGGACTTCCTCGCCTGTAGGCGTGGGAGGTAAAGGTATGAAAAACATTTTTACCAAGAGACTGTTCAAAATGTTGCTCGTTAGGGTCTGCCAAATCTATAATTCGTTTATGACTCAAAACGGAAACTACCAACATAAGCAGCAATTGGGAAGATTCGGCGTGGCAACAACCAAATAACAACCCGAATTTTTTCCGCATTCTTTTCATCAACACAGATATATTGTGGGCGTACTGTATTTATTGATATACCTGCTTTGTTATTTGTTGCTAAGGAAAGAAACAATTCAATTTGCTATCTGTTACTTTTGTGACAATCTTGGGATAGTGAAAATTAATTTATTGATTCAGATTTGACTTCCAAAATGGTTTACACACTTTACGCCGAAAGAGTGGAAATGATTCTAATTTATGGTGCCTAAACTCAATGTGCTCGGCAAACTGCCGTCACGTCTAACGCCAGACATCCGGGGAAGATAACACAGATATGTTTTGGTCTTTGTTACTAAATTTACTCAAACTGGATCTGTTGCAAATAAAAACGTGATCATCGAAGAGTTTTGGATGAAGCCGCTTAAGTTGAAGTTTTGGGTCATTTCCTAATACTTCATTACGCAAAATTGTTGCTGCGACTGGTATTTCATTATAATAGGCTCTGTTCACACAGTTACTAAACTCCATAAATTTCATCCATTCAAAATGAAAATATTGCAAGAGTTAACCGAAGATGATTTCGATAGGCGAGTTGAGTTTTGTGAACAAATGACTGCACCGATTAATGATAATACCATTCATGTAAAGAATATCTGCTTCAGTGATGAATGCTCATTTTATCTAAATAGATTTGTTAATAAGCATAACTGCAGGTATTGCAGCAATGAAAACCCTCATGCTTCTGTAGTAGGGCATACCCAATACCCTCAAAAAAAGTTAATGGAACAAGGTGATTGGGACATTGTTTATTAATGGAAATTTGAATGGAGACATTTATTTGGATATGTTGGAAAATGCCATCGATCCGCTTATCACTGAAACCATTGAAAACCAAATCGAAGAGGATGGAAACCCTATACTTGATGAGGCTAAAAATATTTCCAGCAAGACGGCGCTCCTAGTCACTATGTTCTTCCGGTGCAGCAATGGCTAGACGATGAGTTTCCAGAGTAATGGATAGTTAGAAGAGGACCTATAGAATGGCCAGCTAGATGATGTTGAGGCATAAAAAAGCGTTATGGCAAAGATTCCAAAGAAGTAGACTACAACAGGATTATGTATCTCATCGATCTTTCTCTAACATCCTTTCGAAGAACTTGAAAAACGCCAAGCGCAATTATGAGCAAAATCTTGTATCATCGAAGGATAAGAAGAAGTTGTTTAGATACTTGAGATCCACCCTGAACTCTAAGGTTTCTTCCCCACAAATCCGTGATCCCAATGGCCACCTACATACTGATGCCGAAAAATCTGCCAATCTTCTTGCCGATGCTTTCAGTGAAGACTTTGTGAATGAACCTGATGGTGATGGTACTCTTCCGAACTTATCCAGCCCTCATAGATGCCTAGCGACCATCTGTAGCATAGATTTTCAACCTCAGGACATTGAGAGGCACCTTACTAAACTGAAAACTTGTTCGTCCCCTGGAAAGGATGGGATTACTTCTGCCGTTATGAAGTCCTGTGCCTCAGCTCTCGCATACCCCCTGTGCATTATATTCAACTCCTCGATTCAAAATCACATCCTTCCTTCCTGTTGGCGTACTGCATCTGTGACACCTATATACAAAAAGGAGATAAAACATCTGCGAAAAACTACCGTCCTATCAGTCTTGTGCTTATAGCTGCGAAAATAGCCGAAAAGATCGTCCAGGAACAACTTATGACATTTGCGTTCAAGAACAACCTGCTGCCTAGCAACCAACATGGTTTTATTCCTGGTAGATCAATTATCACCAACATGTTACACTGCATTGACAATTGGACCAAGATCTTTAGACGCAAATGAACCGGTCGACGTGGTTTTTCTGGATTTTTCCAGAGCTTTCGATCGAGTTCCGCATAAAAGGCTCCTCCCAATCAGGGGAAATTTGTTGTTATGGATTGAAGCTTTTTTGTTAGACAGATCTTTCTCCGTCCGTGTTGGAGACGCCTATTCTTCTAGTCATCGTGTTACTGGATCTGTGCTAGGGCCAATACTTTTTCTTCTTTATACAAGCGACCTTCCCACCCGACTTTATTCTATGTGTTCCATCTATGCAGATGATACTAAAGTCTATAACACTGTCATGAACTCATCTGTGCTTCAAGAAGACCTCAAGCTGATCAGAAAGTGGTCAGAACTCTGGCTCCTGCCTGTAAATCTATCGAAATGCTACGTTCTCCACCTGGAAAAGAATAATCCTAACTTAACATATAAGATTGGCAAACATACCTTAGAGACTGTTCTTCATCACACAGATCTTGGTCTGACAGTTAATGGCCGGCTCACCTGGTCGGAGCACATTCAGAACATAACCTCTAAGGCAAAGCGGTTGCTATATATGATGGAAAGGTCATTTAGCGGTTGCACCGTTGGTACCTCCTCCTTTTTGTACACAACTTTCGTACGACCCCTACTGGAGTTTGCTGGTCCGGTATGGGATTCAAACCTTGTTCGCGATAGCAGCTTATTAGAGGCCGTTCAGCGTCGTGCTACACGTATACCATATGGCACACGTAGGCCAAGTTATGAAGACCGCCTCGAGCTATATAACCTGCCTGCTTTTGCTGATAGAAGAGTACGAGGAGATCTCATCATCACTTTCAGAGCACTGCATAATTTGTTTGGTGTGGACATGTCGCATCTCTTTCGTCTGGCAACGAACAGTCTCAGAGGCCATAACTTCAAATTGCAGAAGGAAGCTTTTAGAACCTCTACTCGTCAGCGCTTCATCTCAAACCGTGTCTTCGATGCATGGAACAGTCTTCCATCTTATGTAGTGAACTCGGAATCCGTCAACAGTTTCAAAAACAATTACGATAGACACCGCAGTGCTTAACATATTGTTCCCATTCTGTATATGTCTACTTCAGAAGTGCTAAGATTGTCAAATTGTTATATTTCTTTTGTCTGTACACTATTATCTATCTTTGTGTTTGAGTTTATAGTACTTGTACTCAACTCAAATTTGTTGTTTAATAATAATAATAATAATAATAATAATAATAATCTCCTGATTTGACGCAAATAAACTTTGTTCTATGGGGCCATTTGAAATCTGTTGTGTTTACTCCCCAGCCTGAAAGTTTTGATGAACTTTGTCAACGCATCATCGAAAGCTGCCATGATATCCCACATGTTTTTGAAAATGTCCGTCAGGAATTTGAATATCGCCTATATCAATGTTTAGCCAATAACGGGCAACATTTTGAACACTTATTGAAATAAAAAGTGATATTTTCGTATGTTTTTGTTTTATGTCTGAACAAATTAAGATAAACCAAGAGTTTTCTAATTCTCTTGAAAACCAGTCAACCGATTTTAAAAAATCAAACGTCAAAATAAAGGACTCTGAAAGACCTTTCAGACAAGCTGATATTCGAACCCCTTGTCATTTAAAATTTTTAAGGGGATGACCCTGGGGTGCAGAGGGTGAAAGGGGGTGAAGTAGTTTTTTTTTTAAAAGTTGTCTCCCTTGACAAATCTTTTGACGTGACTCGGCGTTTTTTCTTTTAATCAGTGGTTTTCGATAAATAAGTGTTCAAATGAATATATGAGTAAAGCCGAGGAGACTACTTGGTTGATGTGTTATTCCATACACAACCCTGTACTGTGTATTTCAGTGAAGAAATTACATTCTAAAGAAAAAACTGTTTTCAATTCCGTGCATATCTTGTATGATCAAACACTATCTGCAAATTGACATACTCAAAAATCTAAAAAACTTCTTAGCTAGCCCAAACTGTCTTGCTGATATTCATTCATTCTGCATTAAGCGACTTCGTTGTTCCTCATTATTCACCACGTATCTCCAAACAAAAGTGATACAGTTGAAGCAATTTCACCCAATATTTACGATAAAGCTACTTACACAAGATACTTAAGGGTTCATTTTTCATCTATTTAGCAAACAGCCTTCCTAGATCATGTTTCTGTCTAGAAGGCCACTCATTTGAGCGATTATTCAAATTCTTAATTCCAAACAGAAAGAGATACTACGGTTCACTAGTAAGAAAAACTATTTTATATCAACTAGATTTATTGTAAACATAAAATATAAATACATACATATATCTCATGATCCTTACATAACATGAATATAATGATCTGAATCATTACAAATATCTATTTTCTTATAACGGCACTAAGTATGATGTGTATACCTATACGAAATGTACCTCAAAATGAAAAAAGATATATGCAAATAGATAAAACAACAACGACTAAAACAATTTTCACAGCATACGTTGTCTTCAAGAAGGTAAATACATTAAGTATGGATACACTTTCATGCGGTTTTGCCTGAGCTTTTCTTGTGGAGATGGTCGGCCTAAAAAAATAGTTAGATCACGATACAACTTTCGCCAACATTACTCAGTTTAAAAGGTAGAGTGTGTTTACAGATGACGTGGGCAGTAATAACAAAATGAAATGACATCACCTATAATAGGCCAAATTCCAATAAGAATCCTTCTCTTGTAGTGAATAAGGTAATGTATTCAAAACAAGTTAAACCTACCTTTAAATAATTCCTATCCATTGGTGTTACCAGCTTTAGATGCAGATTGTCTTTGGATGCCTTTATCAGACTTACTACCTCATCATGGGAAGACCATTTGACATCTCTGTCTCCGATGCCAACTATAAAGTCACCTTCTTTAACGCCACCAAACTGACAAAACATAAAAATCAATTATTTCAAGAACAATCTGGTGAATTCAAAGAAATTAAACGGATTAATTTGACAAAACACCTTATGTGAATGAATTCCTGGGTGTAAATTCCCCACCAATGTCTGATATCTAAGATCGCCGGCTTCAATTTTGTGAAAATGAAACAGAATCCTGGACAAATTTCAGGGAATCTAGTTTTAACTTACTTCTGCAAGGGAGTTGTGTTCAACACTCGCAATGATGACAGGTGCATCTCCTCTGACAGCAAATCCAAAACCCTCCTTCGCTCTCCCTTTATTTAACTGTACGACTCTTGGGGCAGTCCAATGCCTCTTTGCGGAAAATATTGCTATCGGTCCAAGTCCCCTGAACCAATCTGTTATGCGATACTGTGTGAAATCCGGAGGGGTAAGCTGGAGTTGGAATTTTGTGTCGGCTGAAAAAATGCGTTTGTTATATAATCATGAAAACAAATTAATCAGTCAGCTCAAAGACCTCGTGAGTACCTTAAGGGCTCCCCCACACACTTTTCTGATCATTAAAACGATATAAATAACCCTGCGTGTATTGTTAGAATAATTTTATAATACCTTTACAATCTTTACTAGAATACTTGATTATTTTCTCAAATAAATAATGTAATGAGTTTCAACTTCACTATTTTCACCTACTTCTTCTCCTATTCTGATCCAAACCTCATCATTTTTGCGAACATTTTTATACACTTCATGGGAAAGGTCATAAAATATAGGGTACTTTCGAAATAATCCAACAATCTGCCCCATATAGATATACTTAACTATTTTACTATTCTACAGGATTATTCTTGAAACGTATAAATGTTATTACATTTTACATTAATTTTTATTTCCAGGCGTCTAAGTTTTATAAAAATTTAGTTTTACGATGTCAAGTAGAAAATACTAACTAATTTTTATTTTTTTGTGATTGCTCAATTACACACAACGCGGGTGCGGTGCTCATTTCTTGTAATGCTTCTCAATGTTTTTGAAAACGTAATGTATAACTCAAAAATCGATATTTTAGTGCATATAGCTTATAATTTTGAAATGACGCATTCAAGCACCCGAGTGCAAAAATGACGTACATCCCGAGCTCACGACGGCGACGTTTTTGCACTGAACGTGTATTGTACATTGTACATGTACTTTCAGTTGAGCGTTTATAGTAAAAAAGCATGTTGTCAACAAAATGGAAAAGTGGTTATTGCAATAACTGATTCTCACGGAACCATCTGAGAAAAAGAACAAACATAAATTCTAGAAACCACAATAAAGATAATTGACATCTACTTTTACTTTAATTAGATTGAAAGTTGGTAAAACAAGACCTGTTATCAGATGATTTACTGTCCAGAACATATTCGGCGAGTACACCCATAAAATAATGATTTTCGTAGAAATAATGAGTTAATTAAAAAAATAATAATGCATTCAAATCAAGATGAACAAATGAATAGCGAATAGCTGTGTATCAGACGAGTTGGAAAATCGATCAGTAAAAAAATTGTTCATATTCGATTAGCACAATTATTTTGATAATCCATAATGCTACATATGTTACTAGCACTAATGCTTCTTGCAATGATGGATACATAAATTATAAAGTTGGTAGCCTTAGAACTTGGAAACGACTGTTCATAAAACTAAAGCTGCGGGCTACCCAAGCTGTCAACATTGGAATCAAAAGTTTTCTGATGGCATTTACCTTGTATGTCTGGTGGTTCCACCAGATCATAAAACTCATCTTCTGCTTCAGAGCTATTGTATTCTTGTAGAGTTACTTTGTACGAATTTCGTAAAACAGCCGCTAATGCCTGTTTTCCCTTAAGCTCCCTGCTCATCCTTTTTAGCCTTTGACACTCTTCGTATAGCACTAACGCTTCCCGTAAGTGAGCTTTACCTAAAAACAGATCAAGTTGTACGAAAACAGTGATATTTATCTCGCAGTTATTAAACTAGAGAGTTAAGGCGTTTTTTCCTATGTTTCCAATTATGGCATCAAATAAATTGACTCTGTGCTTCCCAGGCCACGTTGTCATCGGCTCGTTAAGCATTATGTTCGGCAAAGGTTAGCCCTTCTGAGAGAAAGTTAGCTAACAAAAAGATAACTGGAACTAAGTCTATCGAAAAGACTCATTAATTAAAATTTGCACATTTAGCACGCTTTTGTGTACAATTTAAGGTTATTTTAGGATTCACTCTTCAAAAGGTATTGGTGGAAGGTACGCTTTCATACAAGAAATCCACTTCCCTTGTTCAGACCAGTACGAAAGCGACTGCCGACTTCGATGCACGTCATCGACAGGACCACAGCGCACGCATCGATACGCGACTGTTGGAGGTATTTCCAAGTTTTAAGGGTAAATGTACGAAGAAATCTAGGATGAGTGAAGAATGTCTGAAAAATGCGTAGAATTGCTGACGTTGGAGGCGTATAAATATGTATACCAACTTCAAAAAATTGAGTTATATTGATTTATATCCTTCCATATCCCGTACAAACCTAAAACTCAATTTTTAACCCTTTCAAACAAATTTCCGAAAATGATGAACCTCTGAAACGTAAAAAAAGTTTGAGAGATTTCTTCTTTTTTTTTCGTCTTACATATTTTCCCTACACACAAATTACCAAACGTTCACTTCTTATCAAGTTTATGACGAATACTTAGTAGTGAGAATAGCTGCTTACCTAATGTCTTTTGTTCTGACTGATCTTTTGGATACTTTATATCACCTTGCGTAACTGCTGATTTCTTGTAAGCGTCCAGAACATTTTCCTTATTACTACTGAGCACCGAGAACTTAGATCTGTTGATACCACTAGCAAGGTGGTAGTGAGCTTTTCCCATGTAGAATTCCTTTTTGACCTAAAAATGAAAAACAAAAAACGGTAACCGGTTCAATCATTTGGTGGTCGAAAAGCGGGTTGTTAAGAAAGTTTCGTCAAAGTTTTAGGATGATGGTACCCGCACGGGTTTCAACGCACTCTTTTCGAACGTTTACTTTGCTACCTTGCATATTTTACGCTTGAACCACCATTGCATGCAAAATTTTGATCAAGATTGCAAAGTCGGCTAGCTATTTTTGAAAGTTCTCTTCCTCCTCAACGTTTTTTTAAGCAAATTGCATTGGCTAATTTTGGACGTTTGTCTCGAATATTGACATCAACAAATGTTAAAGAAAATAATCAGAATTTTGGGACCTGCATTGAAAAACTGACGTCAGATTCGTGATCTAGGTTCCCGATTTACCCAAGGCACATGTTTTGTCGGGATTGCAAAATATGCTAGATTTTCTTAAATTTCCCTTCAATATGTATATCTCTAAACTTTGAAGCTCCTCTATACAAAATTTCCATTTTCGTAACCTGCAGGTATAATCGAATAAAAGTCCTTTTTAGAGGAAATATATAGACTTTTGGTTCCTGCCTTCGTTCTCAGTGAAAAACTGACAGTAGATTCGTTATCTAGGCATTCGATGCACCTAAAGAGCAGGTTTTGCAAAATACTCCATGGTTTTTGAAATATTTCGATGGTATGATCTTTGGAGTTCGACTATGCAGGTCTTCCATTCTAGAAATATGTAGCTAGGAGCGAACGAAACTTTCTGGTTCCAAATATGGCCATGAAAAACTGCTGAAGTGTCGACTTTTATAGAACCTTACAGGTAAAACTATCTTATCTTTGGATTACGAGTGAAAAAATAAAAACTGATAGGCCATCAGGGCTTATAATAGCTAAAACTAAAACTTCTATATTATAGTATGTATGCAACGCCTGCCTTTATAGCTGCTTGAATATGTAAACAACAGTACTATAGAAACATAATGTAGCCTAAAATGTCATATGAAATAGCGAGGTGTTGTAGTGGTAATAAATAAAATTGTTTTTAGAAACAACGTGTCTACTTTTACAGAATTATTCGTAAAATTTATGTACATTTTCCAAAAATCAACAGTTGAACTTGGAGTCAAAAATTAACTAAGCCTGGAATACTCTTGTAGGGGATAGATTTAACTTCAATTTAGATACTTCGAAACATCAAAAATAATTCTCGAACTTTTTCAGACGTTAAAAAGCTATAACCGAAAACGATCAACTTGCATCGTCTTACCGTCCGGCGTTTTCTTGATTCATGTTAACGGGAATCCCACAAAAGTGACTATGAAAAAAGTCAAGTTAGAAAATTGTTTCCACGAATTCGGAATATTTGTCTCGTCTGATATCCCAGCATCTGTTCGTAGAAGATATTTGGAATAGGAGTTTGGCATAAGCTACCAAAGCTCGAAGATATTGATATAATTACTTATTTTCGTCTTAACGAATTTCTTGAACAAGAGATTTTTAAGATTTTCTGCTCGTACTGAACAAAGCGGTCCTTAACAGCCGGTCTTTAAAAATTACGATTTTAGAGTTATAGCCGATTTAAGGTCTGAAAGCCTCTAAAAATTTCAATCCTAAATGAAAGTCTATCAAGACCCCGAAGAGTACTTTTGACTTAGTTAATGCTAGAACAATTTTCAACCTAGCTTGATAGGTTAGCAAATTTTATTTTCACAGACTGTACATTTCTACTTGTTACTCTGGCATGTTTTAAATGTTGTACTACTCCATTCCATCTTGCATTCCATTAACTTTCACCTTACCTGCACGAGCGACGTCCAGCTGCACGGTACGTAATCTTTGACAGGGTCATTGGTAATCAGCTGGTTCACCTGACCGTAGCATTCGGATAAGTAGGCTGCCTCCTTCGCCAAATCTAGGCAAATGTCCAGCGATCTGTTACCTTCAGACTGAAGCTGCAACTTTTCAAGGAGGCATTCGCGAGCTTGTGCCTGCAATTAAAATGGCGTCAAGTAGGATGGCTCTGCATTTTACACGAAACGTTCTCATGAACTTATAAAAGAGAACATGTATAACAAAAACATTAAATGGATCAGGTCAGCCGAACAGGCCCGTACAATTAGTCCATAATACACACCAATTTGCTAGGGCTGTGATCTGGAAGTTTTTTTCCTGCTAACCGACAGTACCGACGATCTGGCAATATTGCTGAACTGCCAGCCATGATATAAGTCAGCGGTCACAATGAGCGCTGAGTAGTGAGAGCAGCGTTGTCATATCTACCAACTTTTAGGTACTAACAGTAATTACACACAACGCGGGCACCTGTCTTCAGAAAGGACAACATATAAATAACCCTTTGGCCACAACTAGTAGATATACTTGATTGGCAGCATATTCAGTAATGATTTTTTCACACAGCAAATTTCACTCAATTTATAAACATGCAGGCCAGTAAACACTATCATTCAGATGCGATCTTGCTGTTCAACCAACTTTCTTCTCGGAAATGAGAACTATAGACTACTCGTCTTCACAAAACATATGCAACCAACAATGCATGTAGTGTGTAGTTGAACCATTCCTCCATAGATGGACGCTCACAACGATCCTAGTGAACAAACGTGGAGTGACAGTTTTTTTACATAATACCCGTGCCGGCTAGTCTTTGGTTCTGTCAAATATGACCACTTGGTCTCTAAATGTCAATGTAAATATCTCCTATTTTGTAGTATAATGGATTATGAAGTATGAAATGGGAGTATTTGAAGTTGATATAATTCATTATTAAAGAATTCTGAACTTTTTGCACTTTTTAACAAAGATATGTAATAATAATAATAGTAATAGACGTCTTTATTTATCCACAATTACATTGTAGTATAGCCAAATGTCAGACTTACATGGCGAAGTTTAACATGCTGCTACTCTTACACTTAACCATATAGTTTAACATGCTGCTACTCTTACACTTAACCATATAGTCTCTAGCAGATGTTCAAAAAATACACTATCCACAAACAGATTTGGTTCATTACATCGAAAGTAAAATTTAAAAAAAGAGAAAAAGGCATACTTTCCAAACCCAAATGCACCAAAAAATTATTAATCTGAATTAAAGATGGAATAAAAAAGAAATGATGATATTAATAATAATAAATTATATGTTTGGAGGGTTGAGTAATAATGTTTTAACTTTTTGTCGAAAGCAAGTAATGAAAATTCTTTATATACTTTAGGAAGGTCATTATAAATAATAGCAACATTGTGAGAAAAACTTCGTTTAAAAAGTGTAGACGTATGCAGGGGTATTCTAATATTATTTTCTCTGAGAGTTCTACAGTGAACATCATTATTTCAAATTTTTTCCCTCAAGTAATAAGGTTTAGACGTGAGCAGCAATTTGTGAACAAAAACTGAGTAGTGATACTTGACCACGTCATTAATTTTTAACCAGTTTAGAACGGGATATTTCGCTGATACATGATCAAATTTACGTATGCTAAAGATGAAACATATACAATTGTTTTGAATAACTTGAATAACGTTTTTAGTGAAATTGTCTAAACAAGTATAGTATACGATATTACAATAATTTAGTATAGATATGACCAATGCTTCACATAGTTTGTTACTCAACTTAAAATTTAGTAAATACCTGTTTACTATAAGAGTGCGCAGCCGTAGGTTGGTTTTCTAAGATAGACTTTTAACATGTTCAATAAACCTTAATTTTGTATCAAAAACAACACCAAGAATTTTTGCAGAATCAGAAAATTGCAATATTTGGTTATTTATCTGAATATTCTAGAGCTATGTTACATTGTATGTTTTTTTTGTGCGCTAAATAATAACATTTTAGATTTTTGTGGATTAATAAGTAGATTGTGACCTAAAGAGTATTTAATTAATTTATTAACATCGTTTTGTAAAATTTGAGTAGTATTATTGACATTATCTGGGTTAAAATAATGGAGCAATTGCGTATCGTCTGCAAATGACTAGATATGAGAATTATCAATACTTTTGCTTAAGTCGATCGTATATATGAGGAACAGAAGCGGCCCCAATACAGAGCCCTGAGGTACGCCGGAGGGAATTATTGTCACTTGAGACATTTCTTGATTGAGAAGAACACACTGAGTTCTTCGATGAAGGTTACTGTCGAAAAATGAAAGGGATACACTGTCAAGACCTATGTAATTTAATTTAGCAAGTAATAACTTATGATTGATGCTGTCAAGGGCTTTCGAATAGTCTATAGAGATTAAGGCTAGTGCCATTTTCTTATCTAAGGCACCTAAAATATTGTCTTGCGGATTAAGTAGGGCAGATGTTGTACTATAATTTTTTCTAAAACCGGATTGAGTGTAGAGAATTTTTCTAGGTAAGCGGTCAATTGGAACTTTATATTTTTCTCTAAAATTTTGGATAAAATTGGTAATAAGCTGATAGGTCTGAGATCATTATACTAAGTTTTTTAGGAATTGGAATAATTAGAGCTTGTTCCCATGTTTTTGGAGAGTAGCCTTTTTCCAATCAGTCGTTAAAAATGTGGACGATGTGATGGAGAATAACTGGCAGGCAAAGCTGGATCATAAACCATCAATTCCCTTCGCATCAGATTTTAGGCTCCCTATTGCCTGTAATACGTCATTTGAACTAATCTTATTCAATGAAAAAATATATTCAGAACTTAATTTATTTTTGAAATAGTTTTCGCAAACTAGTGAATCAACAGGTTTGTAGCTATAAACAGACATAAAATTATCATTAATTTTGGTAGGGTCATTAAAACTTGCCGGAAGGATTGGTTTACTACGAAAATTTATATCAAGTTGTTTGAGAGACTTCCACAATGTTTTTGAATCATTTTCATTTGCCAAATTGTATTTTTGTCCCTCCTGATCATGTTAAGAGCACGGTTTCTAAGCGATTTGAAGTTATTATAGACGTCCACGGTCTTATTAGTTTTATATAAAGCTTGTGCAGTATTCTTTTCATAAAGAACAGTGCGCAGTTCATTAGTTAACCAAGATGATGGTGGCTTATTAACTCTTACAGTTTTAAAAGGTGCATGTTTAATATAGGTTTCCACGATAACGCTTGTAATGTGCATTACCTTCTCATCAATATTAGATTTCGTAAATAATTCATCTATGCCCGATGTAGAAAGATCGATAAGAAAATGATCCTCACTGAAATGTTTAAAATCCCTGATTGTGATAAATTTTTGTTTTCTTTTAAAAGATGGAATGTCAAAATGAAAAAATTCGAGTTTGTGGTCCGAAATACCATTCGTGTCCATGACGAAAGAATAGCTGCATGTTTGAGGATTATTTAAAAATATTGGATCGATTAATGTTGCAGTACTATCTGTGACACGGGTGGCTTCCGTTACGATTTGTATGAACCCCATCAGCTCAAAACGCAGTGAAAATATATTGTTATTAAAAAAATTTATATTCAGATCTCCCAATATCACGATGTTATGATGATATAACGAGAGGCTGGGTGGTCGGTACAAAATACCTACTAACAGTTCACACTTACCCGCAACCAATTTAACCCAAATGCTTTCGAAAAAATCACCAAAATGTGTATGAATATCTACCTTTTCAACATGTAAATTTGATTTAACATAGATTCCAACTCCACCAACACGAGATTCTCTATCACAAAGCAAGAAACAATAGTTGCTAATATTAACCACATCATCAGTAATATTTTCATTTAGCCACGTCTCTGTAACAGCGAATACATCAAAATTTTCTAATGCTATTAAACTTACAATAGCATCAAAACTAGACATGAGGGAACGTACATTCAAGTGTCCGATAAGCATTTTACTACCAGCCATTAAGAGTATTTGAATCGTACATAATTTAGAAAAGATTTTGAGTATTCTAAATAATTCTAAAATGATCAAAATAAAATTCGTGAGAGATGTATTTGCTGAAAGAATTCATACACTGGGCAATTTTTGTCTGTCGGAAGATGATCGGTACGGTACGATTTTTTATACTGGTGATTTGAATACAAACAGTTGCAACATTTCGAATGTGCCTGCTTACAGTAATAAATAATTTCAGAAGTCGCATTTGGAATCCTATAAAATTCCACTGAATTTGGGTGGTAGATCTACCGATTTTCATGATACAGTCTACCAATTTCTACCAATTCATGGCACTAAACGTACTACTTCAGTCAGTATTTGCAATCGATAAAAATAGTTTTAAAGGCAAATGTAAGGGGTCACCTAAGATGGGTGAAATATTTACTAATAGCTACCTAGAATTACTGGAGTGATAAGTGTATGAATATATTATAATCAAAGAAAGATATATATTCCCTACAACCCTACAAAGATTTGTCCTGAAACACTTCCGTTCTTGGCATAGTAGTAACGTTACGTAGGAATTTCGTCAAAATCCGAACGGTACTTTCCAAGTTATAGATGTCAGTCAGACCGACAAACAGAGAGAAAGACAGGCCGACGATAATGAGTGACATGGTTTTTCGTAATGTACATAAAATATACATATTTCTTTGCGATTGAAAACCTTCCTCACGAGGAACGAAAGTTTTCTCTGTTCTTCCTGTACTGCCTTAACAGGAGAAAATTTATATCTTTTGATGTTTATGCATTTGGTTTGTTTTAGCACGCATAAACTAAATTCTATGCCATTTTTGCAGAAGGTAGAATTATGTATGCCACAACAAATTGGTTTTATTGAATTTGCTAAATACACAAGTTTACCTAAATGATTTTTCAACAAAATGTAAAACATGCTGTGTGTGAGATATTGATGAAGTTCTCACTAAATTGTGGTTTGAATGAATTGAAATCTGGACTGTTCCAAAGCGGAAAATGAGAAGATATAGATCTGAGGTCCACCAAAAAATGGGTATGCCATTTTTTGACCATTGACATTAGGATTGTGAGATGCAGGTTTACTTCCAGGTAAACTATATTCGCAGAAAAATCAATCAAACGCTGTGTGTATCCTTATGTCCTTTTTTCACCTTTATTCACCATGTTGTATGTTAATATGAATAAATTATTATTTCCGATCTCAAATTAAAAATGTATTTGCCTCATTTAAAATGCGTCGGACCCTGTATATAGAGACGTCGCTCGTCTAACACTATATTACTTACCAACATTAGTTGTACGAACATTTCCAGCATCTCCGGTCCCAAATCCATTGAAGGTGCATTCATGAAGTTTTCGTGGATGTACCAGAACGTACCTGCAGATCTTAGAAAACTATCTATTGCTGCATCCAATCCTTTCGTTGTTGACCTATCTTGTTTGGCACCGATTTGTGTATACAATGCAGCTATGTTGAAAAGAACGCAGGCTTTTTCGAAGGCTACCGTTCTTTGACACGATGGAGCACCTAGAAAAAAGCCAATTCAGTACTGGGAAGCAATTTTACTCAAAAAGTGAGCACCCTGTAAGGCTTTGTACGCGCCAGCTGGCCAACGTATGAATAGATATCCCGATGCATATGATTATTCATGTACAGGGTTCTCTACAAGCTGAATCAATATCTGTTAGATGAGAAATTCTTAGTTAGATATGAAGTTAATTTAAACCTCGCTTTTGGGATCTCGGAAACGGTAAAGCGAATGTCCTCGATCAGGACTTACTGTGGTCCGAACCATCAGTAGATTTCTGCGTGACATTATGCATCAAGGCTACACGGCAAATAAATATCACATCTCATGTAATTTTTATTTTTCCTGGCTTTAGTCCGAAAACAACTTTTCAAACTTTCACATTGTCTACAAATTTCAAACAAATTGCTCAATAATATTTCCAACTTTTTCTCTTCTACATGGTGGTATAATTAGAATTTTGATCTGACGTTTCAGCTCTCAGTTTTTTTAAATTATACCTCATTCGATGAGTCAAAACCAACTATACGAAGCTAGGTACTTGAAGTTCTATCATCTTTGATATTTCATGAAATAAATGACTATATGATAATTGCAAGACTTATCCAAGATTGTTTATCAACTTAATATATGGCATGCTATAACATTTGAGATCACAATGAAAAGCTAAAATGGCATACATAAGACAAATCAAAGTTGAGACGGGGTATAAGAGACGAAAAGTCATATTAATGTTCTATTTATGCCACCTTGTAGAGACTAAAAAGTGGAAATGTCAATGTGCAGTTTATTATTAAATAAATCCAGCAAAAATTAGAAAAAATTCATTCCCTTTTCTCTGGAGATACTGGAAGCATCAAAACTGTTCAAAAGCATTTTCTAAAATAGATGAATACACAACTTTGTCACCATTGAACCGATCTCTTACTGTTTCGGAGATCACAATGGTGAAACTATGTCAAATTTGTTCTTAGAATCTTTCTAGAAGAAACTAGGTACATATCCTTCTACATATTATATGAAACTATATTTGGCTATATGAAGCAATGTCAAGTAATTGTAGAAGAACAAAGAATAAATATCGATAAAAAGAAATTATTTCCTGAATTAGAATAATATGCGGCTTTATCAAAGCTTCTCCATTTGAAGTTGCATATTAGAATATACATACTAAAGGATGTACGATGTTCCATTAAACAGAGTCGTTTTTGCTGTCATGCGGATGTGAATCAACCTGTAGGGGGTACATTCCAAGTAGGAAACGTATAGTCCACAACTTTTGTAAATAACATTCTTGATTATGTTTTATTGTAATGGTGATATTGTCCAATTAGGTACTAAAAACTCAACCTGTATGTCTAATTTGTTGCAATAGTTAATTCGTTGGAGAGCTTGACCGTTTATGGAGTTTTTTTTCGATGTTAATCCCTACAAAGGCTTTAACTTTTGGCTACTATTTCGTATTTGCACTCATGCACTTTTCGGCAAAAAATGAACGCTGTTTTGCAATAACCAATTAAATGTTGCAAGTAACTTGGCATAACCCATATTGAAGGTATTTTCATCCCTTTGTCGATTCCTTTATAGAGTTATAACTTTGATGTTTGATAAAAAAGTTACCCAGATTATTTTATTTCGCCCTTGATAGGGACGGTAGAACATCAATTATTTAGCTTCTACTAACCTGTGAGCGAGTCGTACCACTCAAAATAAATCCCGAGTGACCTGTCTGGTGGGAAGAACCTTCTCTCCACGAAATACAGCTGGTTGTAGTACCTGAATAGCAATGCAATTCCACTTGCATCTCTCAGAGGCGTTCTCATTGCTTGCCTGGTACACATGAACTCATTTATGGCCTCTTGATAGAGATCGGAATTTTCACTGTAGTGCTCCAAGATGAAGTCTTTGAAGGGGTCCTGGAAGTCGATCTCCTTGGTCTCTTTCAGGCCCAGGGGGATCATTGGCATCACGGAGTCCGTGCTAAAATCAATACAGATTCTTTGTAGCTCCAATGTCATCCCTAAGATCTATTCAATTTTCTGTAGTGATATGGTGAATGTATAATGTTGCGTTGAAGGGCTAGCTAGGAGTACTTCAGCTGTATAATTGGTTGGGTGAATATGTGAAAGCATCAGCACCGATATGTCATATATTTTAAAAAAAGTTAAATATGCACCGTACAAAATTAAATGCATCAAAACGATTTTAAAAGAAAGATATCTCTATACCTTATACCAAACTTTGATCGAGCCGCATTTTACCTACGGTATATTAGCATAGGCAGTTACATGCTCAACTCATATTCATGATTTGGATATATGTATATCCAAAACTGATTTTAGAAACAATGTTTAACAAACCAAAATTGTATTCCACTAATGTCTTATACAAAGATACACATGTATATCACTCCAAACAGCTTCATCTCTTACATGCTATAACCAACTATCACAAATTTATCAATAACGACCAAAAAATTAAACATAATCACCACACAAGATATAAGCTAAGAGGAACAGTTGTACCTAGACCAAACAAATCTATAACGCAATGATCATACCTTTATTTAGATCCAAAATTACACATTCGTTACAATTACCCGATGGTATACTAAGTGACATATAAATCCGAACACCCGGTTTAAATGGTTTTATTTTAATAAAAGCTGGTGAATGTATTTATCTTACTGTAAATGACAAGTGAAAAAATTTTCAGCCTTATCAGTTGGACATTCCGGTTTTTATACTGCTTTTTTAATTCACTAACGCTAAATATTTCAGCCGAGTCAAAGAATCTAACGACGGATTGGTTCGCAACTTATGATCCGATTGTCCATGAGGAATATTTAATCGACAACACTATTGACACAGTGTGGGCATACGTCGCAGTTTTATATTATAACTCTGAAACTTTGTAAAATTCACGTAAACTTGAAACTTATTCTGTGGTTTTTGATTTCATAGAACTCCATTGCCTAGCTGGATCAATCCACATGTATGTTCAATTTTCTGTTTATTGTACGACTTTTATTGCAGTATATATACAGGGTGTTTCAGTTTATGTTGCATAGCTTTAAGATGCGATAGAACTTTTGAATTAATGCATAAAGTCTATGTAAACATGGGTCAAAAATGCGTGGCTTCTGAAATACAGGGTGTTTAAATTTACTTTTAAAATAGTTTTTTTTAATATTTCGAACAATATTTGATGTATAAGTGAAAATTGGTATACAAGGGTTTTTTGGTACGAAAAAACGAACCATGGGCATAGTTTACTGTAGCCGCTAGAGGCGCTCTCTACTGTACCTGTAGTGTATTAAAATGACCGAAAATTTTTTTTAGTGCAATTTTTGCTTTTTGAATAAAAAAACTGATTCTCCACACTCTGCATAAAAAAGCTCTCTGTGAGTTTTCGTTATAGTTAGCCGTTTTGAGATATTTCGATTTTTAATTCGATGCATTTTTATTTATGGGAAATAATATTTTTTTTACATTTTCGATTTGGGCATTACAAGTAATTAAGATGATCGTTTAGATTGTGTTTTTAAACACAGCAATAATTCCTAACTCCAAATAAACACAAAAAAACAGAATATTAATTTGTTTAATTTTCCAATATTATTTTTAACAAATTAAATTAATTATTTACAACTAAAATGCTTTGGATAGTTAGGACAAACATACAAAATCTAAAGTAGTTGCTCGAAATGTAAACCCAATTGTTCAATACACAATTCACATCTACGAATGATCGAACGTGAGCATTCAAATAAGGCCTTATTTCATCACATGCATTCCTGATTCTGTCTATTAGCATATCTCTTGTGGTTACGGGAGTCTGGTACACTTTTTCTTTTAGAAATCCCACACAAAGAAATCTAATGGATTTAGGTCAGGGGATCGTGGAGGCCAGGCGACTGGTCCTCCACGGCCGATCCATCTTTCTGGATAATTTTCGTCCAGCCAGTTTCTAACTATTCTCGAATAATGAGCTGGACAACCATCAAGCTGGAACCAGGCCAATCTTCTTAAATCTAACATAACATCATCCCACATATTTGCATGTTCAGCCTTTAAAAATTCCAAGAAGGTCGCAGCATTTAACCTTGCAGGCAAAAGGTAGGGTCCAAATAGTCGATTACGGTAGATACCAATCCACACGTTCACACTAAATTCATGCTGAAAATTTCTTTCCCGAACTGCATGCGGATTTTCATGCGACCAAATATGTTGATTATGAAAATTTACCACTCCACGTCTAGTGAAGCATGACTCTCGGCCATAAGATAAAACCCCTTTTAAATCAGCCTTCAGAAACCACAGACAAATGTGATTCTCGTTTCAACGTCCCCTGTTCTGAAGCACTGCAGGGAGTTGGACTTGCATGGCTAAGAACACGGGAAATGACTACCTGAATTCCTAAGGCACAGAAACTGCGTAACACTTTGGGTGATCTCCAAACTCAGTCAAAGGGCTGTAATCTGCAGTGCAATCATTTTGTTTTGATCATTTTACTCATTCTGCCATTAAGTATTATTACAACTTTACAAATAAAACCATTTAAACTGTGGTTTTCGGATTTATATGTTTATATACAAAGACCAAAATGGTAAAATGAACTAAATTCATAGAATAAACAGGAATCATACATATGATTTAATTCGGCCAGACAATGGAGTCCTCGTAAAATTGACTTTCAGCTTTAATCTTTGAATATTGTGCACAATATGAGGTAAAATCATGGCCTAATGTATACAAATCACAAAGATCTATTGGAGCAAAAACAATTTCCATACATACTCGAAAGACAACTAAAAATTTTTAAGAAATTTTTCGCAATTGTAATACTTCCTCTCTAGCGAAGCGATAAGTAAAAATATTTAGAAGATAGATGAAGAAGTCCAACTATGCTCCTGTTCACATTGACATAATGATTTGAAACGAAGTTAACTTGAATTTGAGTACGCTTTTAACTGCTAATACTTCCTGGTAGATCGTCTAAGATGACTTCACTTTCAGATAGAAAACAAATCAAGTCAACCGCAACTCTGTTATCTAACTTCTTTCTCCTATTTTCTTGTCCATTAATTTTTTACCGATAAGCCTGCAGATACGAATCGCGACTTCCTAGTGAGTCCACCTGTTTATAGCAAAATAACTACGATATTGCATTAGGACTTTCTCTCGCACACATCGTAAGTTATTATTTTGTGTTGCTGTAGGTGGTTCACTGTCATTATCAGAGCATGGTCGATACATTGGGAAAATACGCGAACTCTCATGATTGTTTTTTGCACGCTACACATTTAAGACGCCACTTTTGGACTTTTTATTACACCGAAGCAGCCGCGCAGGCACAAGCCTAAAAGCCAGGGCACCGCAGCTAATATGAGGAGCTTAATGAAACGGACACCTTTTATCATCTATTTCATCAGCCTAGAATTTCAAAAGGTTCAAAAGGAGAGACAGAGAGAAAGAGAGATAGAGCTGACGCTGACACGGAACAGTAGAAATCTAGAAATACCCCAGCCTTTTTGAAGGAGACAAAACACTATTAAAATCAAGGAGGCCACAAAAGCGTCCTACAATTCTAGGAACGACTGAAGGTTCGTAGAACTGGGAAAAGCCTCCGCATGTAAATTGTTCCACAATCTGTATACCCTAGAGTCAAAGGAGCGGCCGTATTGGCCAGTTCTGGATGTAAGAACTTCTACACGGTTAGGATGGGAGGCCGAGGTGAGGCGAGTATGTCTGGTAGGCAAATCGCTAGGCAACATCATGGAGGACAGCTCTGAGGGGCAAAATCCATTGGCGTAGCTAGATCGCCAACGGCCCGCCTGGGCGAAGGGGCTCCGAGACTTCAGAAAAGAGTCATCGGTCAGTCGGACAGCCCTCCTCTGAACAGCATCGACCATATATAATGTAGTCGGGGCGGCAGCACCCCAAATATGTGAGCAGCACTCGAGGCTAGGTCTTATCTGAGCCTTGTACAGAGTGAGAAAGGGTATGTCGAGAAAAGTGCTTCTTACTCCTAAACAAATAACCTAGCACTTTCCCAGGTGCCGTTATTGACGAGATGCCAGATGAAGTCACTGGATCAAAGCTGAGTTCCATTTTTTTACAATGACATCTAGGACTAGAAAAAATAATGTTTTATATTTTTCTGGTCATCAAATGAAACTACATAATTATTTAGGACTGGAACTCCATGTTTTTCTACCCAAATGCATAAATTACTATTTACAATAGTTATGCAGCATGAAAACCACAGGATATGTTTCAAATATTACATTATGCAGTGCTTATAAAAAGTCGCTGGATTCTATACTTTAGCGTAAATTTTGAAAATATTTCAAGGTTACCGTACCGAACAATCTTGGTCAATTTTTTTAAGGATTGAGGGTTATGTGATAGGCTCGTTTCGAAGCTTCTTATGAGCGCTTTATAACTTTAAAATATTCAGTATCTTTCAAAATGGTGGGCTAGCAAAGTTGAGCGTTTTTGTATGGGGTGGGCTGTATCTCGGTAACCACTCAGCCTAGACAGTTAAAAAATGTATAACAAAGGTGGACAAAAGAAATTGCTGGAAATTATTTTCGGCTGGCCGCTGGGTGTCGTAACTATAACCTCAAAATTAGAAATGTGTTTTTGCGGGGACACTCATAGATATATCTAAGATAGCTCCATTGGATAATATTCGTATTTTTTTTGTTTGACGAGTGGTAAAAGACTTCTGATTAAGTTGGTCAATTTGCATGGTCTTGTCTTCATTGCACCTTTCTAACAATGGCTTCTTTTTGTCAATTTATTTTTTTATCCGTTGTATAGGTGGCGCTCAATGACAAAATCGCCGTCTTTTTGGATGTTTTTGATAAATAAGTAGTAAGGTAGGGTATACGATTTCTGGAAAGTCGTCAGGTTCCCGTTAGTTTACACAGATTATTAGAAGCCGTCTTTCAATGGAGACAGCCTATATCTAGTGAGCCCAGCAATAAAATGGTTAGCAGAAATGGTAACAAAGGAAGTTAGAATATTGAAAATGTAAAAACATTGGTTAACGAGTTACTTTAAGGATGCCACTTGAAAACGTAACACGGAATAACTAGTATTTTTTAAACCTTATTTCGTACATTATTTGTACTGTGTGTCACTAATATATTTTAGTCATTTATAAATCTGTTACTTCTCTATTCGACAAACATAATAAGAGCAAATTTGCCTATGCTTAGTGATATGTAATGTATGTAAGTAATTATCGGCCTTAAACTATCCTATATTACTTTTAAATGATCAAAGGGATCAATAGAGATCTATCTACTTATAATATTCACGCTGTGGGTGTTTAGCCTATATCTAAAAACAATTATTATTGGTTTTTCCATTTTTACACCTATAAACTATTATTTTTCAACAGTTCGTGTGATGTGAAAATGTTATACAAATTTTGACCTTCTATAAAACTTTATATTATAAACCTTTAGATGAAGGGTCTTTTCATCTACCTTCAAGAATATAATCCCGGTGAAAGGGTATCGTATCAGAGTCATTATTGGTCAAGTTGATAAAGAACCTTCGTTTGATGGTTTTCTTAACAAAAAATCGATCCAAGTGATAATTGATTACTTTACTAATGAAGTTCATTATTTTAGGTTAGATTGTACTGCTGATGACAGGTAAAAAATGGGAAGAATGTGATAATGGCCATCAAATATTTCAATAACTAGGTCTTATTGATCCAGTACGTCAAATCGATAGAATATAAAGAATTACTAACTTCAGGTGAGTTAGAATGATAGCGAAGTTCGTACAGCACCCCGTATTTTTTTTTAGATCAGTAATATTACTCTGATAGGATTTGGGGATACGGAATAAAAAAATAGCTGAATCTGTATCAGTAGAACCAGCTACACCTACAGTAATAACATAGGAAGTTCAATAGTCTTGTGCTAACCATAAATTACCACGTCCATGGTTATATGAATCTACTCATTAATTACACATCAAGCATTTTTCTGCGGTATGCCCGTATATTATTGCCTTGCAAGAAATTCTATTACTTTATGTGCCATACCGCATCTAATGACTATATGGAAGCTGTGAAGATTGGCATCTCTCTTGTTTTTATCTATTGTGAAAGCAGCTTGTCTTTCCGCCGTATGTACAGCCTGCGAAAATCAAAGCTCGCCAATTTTGTCCTGTAATATAAGGTTGGAATCGCTTTGAATATCAGAATGCTCTTCAGAGTTTTGTAGAGCAAGATTTTAGCTTAGATCTAATCGACCGCAACATTTACAATGTCTAACCGAATTTTTAATCATTGTACATGTATATGCCCGCACATTAACCCTGATCAGAATTTATTTAAACAACTTTTCAAATTAATTACAATTGTTTTTGTCGGGACAAGGTTTTTTGGATAATTCGGAATGGAATATGCTTTCATTAGCTTTTCTCAAAAGCTAACCATTTTCGAGTAGTTAGCGATTTTATGTCAAAAAAGCCTAAGAAATGAGTATATTCGATGCTAAAAACTTCGGTTAAGAATTTTTGAGGTTGCCAAGTATCTAAATTAAATTTTATACCTTGCTTTACAGATACTGTTGGGTAGTTTCAGATTACTTTATTTTAAAGCGATTTTTGCCCTTGTCTGTTAGGCCAAAGGCTGTACGTATGTCACTTTTAGATTCCAAATGAATTTGTGGGCTGCCTCACTAAATACGATCAGTTTGAACATGTTCCAGCCAATTACCAAATACTGAAGTGGATGAAATTGTAATATTTAGTTAACTACTACTATTTAATTTTCATATATACCTAAATTGTTGCACATGTCAAAGCGCTTCCACCTCAGAGAAAAACATTGTTTTTAGTGAGTATGTGCACGATAGACCTTTAAGACACAAAATTATAAAAGTCCCACCACACAGCGTTATTTAAACGGAGTTTCTCGTAAAACTTACATTTTAGAGGACCAAATAATTTAAAAAAAAATTCGAGAGGTCAAAAACTAGATCTTGGGGTTGCAGGAGATGGAAAAAAGTTTGTCAATTTTTTGATGCCAGCAATTCATACGTTTTCAACCCCGGTAATTCTACGCATCTATTACATGTATTTCACAAATAATGGATTCCTCCTCAAAACTTCCGCATTCCGTCACTGCCACGCTGCCGAGTCTGACGGGTGGGTTCATCGTACGGTGGGGTATGAGGAGAGGGACGACGTTGCCAGATGGACGGTACTATCAGTAGAGCAGGTAAAAGATGTATATATAATTGAATAAGCCTGTTTAACCGACTTGATCCATATTTTGTAAGCTGACGATAGCGTTGCGGGGGAGGTTCAGAGTCAACATACTTGACGCCATTTTTTGTCACCTTGAATAATAACTTCAAACAATAATCTCTTTTGACCTTTACCTTTGATCAATCACAACAGGGATTATCACCACCAATGGAAAGCGTTATTACAAATCTATTTTTGAAACGAAACTGTGCGTAAAACCTATGTCCAAACGTCTTTGAAACTATAGAGGTTAGCTTAAAACCGTTTAATGTAAGATAAGTATTCACCTGTCACTTTGATACAATTCCACGGATGAATTCAGCTCGGCGAGTTGCTCTTTCAACAGTTGCAAATTGGAATTGACGAAACTCAATTCAATTGCAACTGTCTCTCTGAGCTTCCTGTTGTTGGTCGCCTTGATCAAGTTTTCAGCTCCCGCTCTAAGTCTCAGTTCTTTGTTGATCTCTTGGTTCAGAATAGATCTACGGTTCTGGAGCTTGCCTCTGCATGTCGCTACTCGTAGATCTGAGCCCTGTAACAGATAGACACAATTTTGATTACTCACATATCTGAACGTCTGATTGATCTGTTGAAGAAACGTTTGTATTTGATACTAAATGCTTCGTTTACAGCGCAGGATCGTTGTAAACAACCATTTCTGAGTGCATAAGACATAGCGGAGGCCCAAAACATAATTAATTTTATATATTTTTTCAACAGTTGGATTTTTCTGAAATTTTAATCAATTACTACCCTAACCCTAAAAGACAAGTACATAAACTATATAAAAAATTGTAGTAAACTCACTATTCTTTCTCAAAGTTAGTACACTGCTCGAAACCATTTTTGGGCGTAGTAAATAGACTGCCCACAAAGTTAAGGAATTTTAAAGATTCCAAAGATACCTTTACCAGCTTAGTCACGTTAAGGGGCGTAATCTAATTTCACATACAAAAACATTTCCATATTGTGTTATTAACAGATTTTTTAATTTTATTTCAATATTCTGTTTTCATTTTGGTTAGAACTGTTTATTTCAATTTTTGTGTGACTTTGTGTTTTATTTTATTTTAGAATTATCTTTGATTTCCACAGATGGTGATAAAATCAACACATAACCGTATACTTAAAGTATATAAAATAAAATGTAGCTGGACTATTTATTTATCAACATACTTAACAGCAATTTGTTTGTATTTCTTTCAAACCGCAACGGAGAAACTCTGGCTTGACATCAATAGGGTTAACTGTATTAGTAAATGAGATAAAATAAATCCTTTAAGAGCTACAAACTACATAGATACCCGGACGATCTATGTCATTTAAGTTCCTAGATCTAAATATTAAAATGTATAGCGTAAATTATGCACATCGTTGTAACATGTGTAAACAAAAAGAGAATTAGTATAAATTGCTTTGGCGACCGGAATTGGAATACATTATACCTGAATTGCTTCGGACAAGTATACAAATATGTATAATTTTGTTCGCCACATGCCATTATCATAACAGTTTGTGGATTTTCACCGCAACACGTCTTGGCGAGTAGGATGTTCAACAACATTGTTTGAGTTTAATTTATATGAGATTGAAATTTGTTTGATGATTAATAGGAAATTGAAATTATACAGAAATTGACTGGAGTAATGGCGCATATTAAGAGCTGTGAATAAATAGACTCTTGAAGTAATTGATTTTTCGAGAGGTAAGAATACCTGTATAATATTGTCCACTTGACAATTTCCTAATGTCCGCGTAATTTCTCGCAATGGTCATGACCTGTAACCCGTGATATATGGGAAATGGGATATTTTGTCCACCAACATACCTCAGTGCGAAAAACATAATCCTCCTTATGATGCAGTCTGGTAAGAAGCTATCTTTATGTTGTAAATCCTTTCAATTTCTTGATCATATGAAGGTGTAGGCGAGGGGTAAGTTTGGTTTTCTACACTTGCATTAATAGTCATATTTAAATCACTTTCAAGAATAGGATATTCTGGAAAGCTTAGATTGTTTTTTCAATCCACATTAATTATGCTTTAAGGACTATAATCGAGCGATACTACTACTGGCGAGAAAGTATTGTAATCGCAAAATGAGATATGTTTTATTTTATGTTATATGGCACTTACTTCATCAAAAACCATCTCACTCACGTCTGTCTGTCGGTCTGTCCGACCAGTCTTGGTCCGCCTATGACTTCGAAAGTTCTGCATGGATTTGCATATTTTTTTTTACGAAAAGTTACTATCACGCTAAGGACGAGAAAGCTTTCTAGTATTTGAAAATCGCCTCAGTGGTTGGGGAAAAAAGGCTATAACCGGAAAAAATAAAAACCCGTCTAACTTTGTCTTTTGACGATTACTTTTAGGCTAAAAATGGGAAGGTTGGGGCTTGTAAAGGGTGGGAGAGGGTATATCTCAATTTTTTGATGTTAGTAAAATCTATACGCTTCCAATCTCAGTAATTCTACGCGCCTAATAGACATATTTCAGATAGCATAGATTTCCCCGTGGATTAGCCCTTTGAATTAAAAGCTACAGAAATGCTTTCAAAGCGCTGCTCTTTAGGCTTACCGGCCAGCGTGCCGGTCTCCATTAGTTCCCTGATGTAACTGGCGCTATGCCGCGGTGCCGTATCGTGCGATCAGGTATCGGGATTTGCGACGTTGCCAAATGGGCCGGTAGGGCAGCGAAAGCATGTCTATGGACCAATTGTATGGCCCTGTTTGACTGACCTGATCAGTTTAATTTCTCTGTTTTACATGTTCGTTGCTACCTTTTTCCTCAAAGTGCACATGTTTCTTTTTGCCGACGGACAAAAGACAGCCAACAATGGAAAGCTGATTCATGCTTTTTTGGCAACTCATCAGCATGGATGGGTCAAAGATCAAGGTCTTATTTTGATAGGGCCTAATTTGTGTTGAACATAATCCTTTACAAGCTGATGACGGCGTTGCGTGGGAGGTTAAGAGTCAACCTAATTGATTATTGATATCCATTAGGAATTTGTCCCTTCGGAATTCCTCCTACCTATAAATTTTCTTGAGATATTTCAAAGCATATCGAAAAAATTAAAATATCTTAGAACTTTATATAAGAATGCAACAATGTAACTGCAATGATATAGTAATTTCGCCATAGCAGACAGCAACACTCTGATAACGATCCTATGTTAAATAGAAAAACCATCAGGGCCACTACATGAAAATAATGAATTTTAGGCATGAAATTCTAAATTGGCTATTACATATTACGGTGAAAGTGCTACCAAATATTGAATTCGCTTAATGATAACCTTGCAAGTAACTTTAAGGAAATATTAAATTAAAAACAAAGCTACAACAACAAAAAATGATAAAACAAGCAGGTCTCGGGTTCTTCGTGGAAACCAAGCGTAAAATGAGAATTTTACAAGGCCCCCATGTCCATTATGACGAAATACGCAATGTTACAAAACGTTTTTACTGTGAAGCACATTTGAATTACCTTTGCGAAATATATTTATATTGAATAGCATTATCGTAGAGTACAAAATCGAAGAATAATCGGTTTTGTGGAAAAAAACACACCGTTACTTCTAGTATGCATATAACAAGCGTATATCAGCAAATTTGGAGTATTTACCTATCGACCTGCTACCCGTTGTCTGGACAATAAATAAAGCAACAGTTATGAATGAATGCACTTACTCACATTTCGGCTTACATGTTAGCCTCTTTCAAATATAAATTAAAAAAAAAGATGAAGTAATTCATGAAGCTGAATCCCATGTTTACAACTTGGCATCGAGTTATGTGTCTTCAAAATATAAATCTTTTTTTGAGGCGCTAATACAGACGTTCAACAATCTTCGGATACTATATTCTCTTATCAAAATGGAAGTAAGTAGCATAGCTCAACTATAGCAATACAAGGTGTAGTGTTATCTTCAAGATAATGAAGCACATAGATAATGATCCAGACAGAATACGAATCTTAAGCCTAACGAAACAAATTGTGTCAGTACTTCGTTAAGAAACAAGGTTTACAATCATTGGTCGATGAAAAAGTGGCCTGAGGTTGGAAGGTGGGAGCAGTACTCCAAGTCAAGCCTGAAATGGGCTGCTGCCCACTAAGAAAGCTATAAAACTTCCTATAGTTCATTATATCCACATAGCCCAGGCAGTATTTTCTTATATGTTCAAAAAAACATTTTGATTAGTTTTTTTTTACATAATCCATAATCTTATTTAAGCAGGACCTTTTAATCAGCGTATTGTCAGTCTCAAAATTGCGGCACAAATTAACACTTTTTTGAACAATCTTCAAATATTTTTATTTGTTTTAGATTTTTTTCATCGTTCTAATTAAGAAACGTTCTTATGAACTGTCCTCTAAAGTTGATAGTTTTCGCAATATAAGCGATTTAATATTTGAAAAAGTAAGTAAAATACTCCACCTTAGCAACTGAAAGCAATAAGAAAAAACGAACATTTTAGTGTCACCAAAGTTTCGAAATATTCTTGAAACATCTGTTAACAAAGATGTGTTATTATATTAAACCTTTGTTTTACCTTACAGCGCAGATCCATCTCATTTCTGAAATTTAGTTTGTATTCCACTCTATACACGCAAGCCTAAGAGGGCATTGTTCTCTAGTAGACCTAGGTCGACCAATTTGACTAATTGTGAGAAAGATACTCTTTACATATCCATGCGATCCGTACTTATGTATAATTTGAGAAGACTCTTGAACTCCTAGCTCGTTACGTAGAAAGAATATGCGCGGTCGTCACGGTGAATAGCTTCCACAACCCATTTATTTGTTGTTATTATTCCTATTTGCCATATTTTAACGGTTTTTATATCCGCCAGCGAGCATGGACGCTCAGACGAAATCACTCTGTTGCTGCAAGGTAATTCGTCGAAGAAATGATCGCGTTCTTCGAAAAGATAGGAAGATGATCCGTCAGTGTTGCTTCATCGACCAAATATCTACTAAAGGATAAGTTCTAGAGCCAGTAATATTTTAACTATAATATGTTATGAGTTAGTCGACAGGAATGTACTGTTTTTTATGTTATTTTGAGCATGCAATTACGAATAAAGCGCTGATTGTTTTTTTATTTTGAAAAGTGGAAACGTCCATTTAGGTACTGCCTTTCGGAAAACTTCTCCGTTTCGAAGGAAGAAGGACGAGCTCGAATGTAAAGCTTCTACAAAAGCTGTAAATTAACTATTTTCATGTTTGACCACAACCCTCTCCTCAAAGACGGGCAAATTTTGTTAAATATTTTTTATTGGGCTACAATTACACTCAGCAACTATTGCCTTGCGGTGTGCAAATTAAGATCTCGACTGAATAATCTAGGATATCAGGGGGTAATTCCGTAGATCTAGTTAGGTATAAGTTAGGTTTTCCTTGAGCTATCCAACGATCTCTGTAAATTTCTGTTAAAAGCTGAAAAGGGCAACCTTATTAAACATTCGACCAAAAAATACACTTTCAGTCACCGATTCGGACCTTGGCCAAAAAAAGCTGAAGATT